ACCTCTTCTAATAAGTACATGTGGACACAACAACAAAAAAAGGTTCCTCCATGAAACTACTCACAACAAGTTTAGTGGAGCAGCTGCGTCATGATTTCTGGAAAGAAACACTGCTTGTGACCTTTTCATATTAAGCACAGGTTACTTCTGTCAAACACGTGTAGCAGTCCCATTAGATCAGCTGACCCTAATGCCAGCTCATGTCAGCTGATACCCTTCTGTACATTCTTTTTGGCAAATGGCTTTTCCCATCATCATCATCATCATCATCCACTTTTCAAACCTGCCTCAGTTTTTTTGGCACCTTGAGGCAAGTGCCATCAAGTTCCACTATATTAAAGAGAAGATATCGCTACACTCAGTGTCTTCAAAACCAGGAAGCTCACAGTTAAAGCACCTAGATGGCACTAAGGGCTGAGAGGTGAACTGTTCCTTTATATCAAATGTCACAAAGGAATGCCCTTAGCAGAGTAGGGTGGTCAACAATCACTAACAGACAACAACACATTAACAGTTTTCAGCCATTATCTGCCTGTAAGTACTGGATAAAGGTTTTTGTCGGTAACTTGGTGTCTTGGGTTTTTTTGTACAACTTACAATACGAAAAAGGCGAGTTTGCATCAGCAGCTTGAAATAAAAGTCTTGATTATTTGGGATTCTTGAGCAAAAACAATCCAGTTATAGTGATCTCAACTAGGTCCCTATTCACAAAGGGTGACCGCAGTGGGCAGTGCCACTTTTACGCATATGTAGCGACTTCCACAGTCGCTGAAGGCCGGGGATGGAGCCTGCCTATTTGCCTGACACGCTGTCAACTTTACGCAATAATGCGAGAGGTGGAATTGCTTGCTTGTTTATTAAAGTGATTTGAAGGTTTACAGAGTAATGTGATCGGCTCCCGATTCAGACTCTTAAAACATCACAGGCTCTCATGCACCAAGGGGAAACTCGCTGTGCAGCGGTCAACAAAAACTACGGATACCCAGCCCCCCTCTCTGTCAAAATCAAAACCAGTGAATGACAGACTGACGACGCCCTCTTAATGTCGCCGCTAGCACCCACGTGACTCCAGTTACAAATCACCATAACAACCAAACAAATGAAAAACCCAGTGACCATCAAAATTCAATATGTTTAGTTATGGCTCCAACAGCATATTTTTACACCAAATTCGCTTCTCGATGCAACCCTGAAAGGATGTTTGTCTCCTTGTATGCTCATTTCTTAGACAGTTGTGTAAACCACTACAACAATGAGCCACTAAACTGGATCAATGTAGGTAATGTAACTAAAATTAGTAACTGACTTTTATCAGATAAATAAAATAAAACGCGGTTCACTCCTCAGATAAACACCCTAAAGGAACCACTCTGTGTCCTTTGTAACCTTCCAACACACTTTAACCAGATACTCAGCTTGTAAAATACATGATGCATTGTTATTTAATAACCACAATAAAGGACGTAAAACTCTGCTGCTACACCATTAAAGTGCAACATTTGCATGATAATCCAATAAACTCATTTGAAAGGTCTTAACGTGTAAGTTTAAGCAGTTAAGTGCCATTTTAACACTTCTTCTTTCTAGGCTGGTTGAAGAAATTCATGATCATCTTCTTGAAATGTTTACATCATGATCCTTATCCCTATCACCATGACAATTAAAGATGCTATCAAAATCATCTTCCAAAAGAGGAAGAAGCAGACTTACTAACATAAACCTTTATGTTTTTTTGCACGCAGCTTTTATCAGCGGCAGTTTCATAAGCACTTGTTCTGTTACTTTGTCGAGACATACGCAACACCATGGGTGCTAAGGCCTTGTCTGATGTGTTACAGCAACGCGGGAGAAATCTCCATCAGCCTATCGAGCAACTTCACAGATAATGCCTCAAAGCACTTGAGACGTCATGGCTTTTAGTCACGTTAATCTCTCAAGCACTGCTGACAGAAACCCCCTCCTCTGCTCTCACTGAGGTAATTTGTTGTACACAGTTACTTTTTCAAAGCGTTAAATATTGGCTGAAATCTGCGAGGTTGGTTTGTTTTATGGGTTGCCCTGTCCTGGGGCTGTCAAGAGGGACGTATAGGACAGCTTTTAATGGAGGCGGAAAGGCTGACATTAAATACAGGCCAGATGGACTTTCTCCTATCCTGCTCATAAAAGTTCTTAGGACAGTTCACAAATCAAGGCCTCTCAGTATTATGTTAAGGGTTCGGATTGTTATTGTTATTGTACATTTGCAAATACTAATGTAATTTATGGCTTTTTGAGGATAATTCGAGACTCAACCCACCCAGACATTTAATACACGAGTGTTTAACAGTTAATATTAGCTTGATAAAGTGCCCGGAGCTTTTACTGCCTTCCATGGAAACTGACTATCATAACTCTGACAACTTCTCATCCAGCAAGAATTAAGAGTGAAGAGGAAGATGAAGAGTGCCATCTACTTCTCTACCGCCCCAAGCCAAGTTTAGGAGAAGCGACGCTGAATCAAGCTTAGGGGTAAATAAAAGGCAGCAGGTATACTGTACGGCCAGGCATGGCGGCAGGAAAGTGAAATTCAAGATGCTAAAGTAAAACGGAAAACCCCCAGGTCTCTCGGGGGGCAGCGCTCTTTCCGGAGGAGAAGAGAGGACTCCGTAGTTGAGAGTTTCTGGTGGTCCAGGTTTTTTGGGTAACTCACTATGATGTTGCTGATTACATGACAAGAATGAGCGAAGAACTTTGAGTTTCCTGAGTGGATTAAGGGTGGAGATTAATTTGTGCATCACTGCAAATCATGCCACCACCCCATTTTCATTCTGTTTGGAAGATTTTAATCTAAAAAATGTTTAAATGTTTGCGCTATCTTCAGCTACATTTATGTCATAGTCTGAAAATTGGGATTTATCACACATACTAATGGTAACTTTATAATGATGTTATAATGTTACAGATTATCATATAGTCTTTTACATCCCTACATCCCCAGCAGGTCCCTGAAGTCATGTGATCATGAACTGGCGACTGTGCAGCATAAAAAAAAACTGTGGAGTCTCTTTTATATGGCTGCTAAAAGCTCATTTTTTCAACATTTCTTTTAAATAATTAATAAAAAAAATCTTTATCTTTTTAGCATTTTACTGTGAAGCTCTCTATGATATTTATCTCGAAAGGGGCTTGACTTAGTGAAAATAGTTCCAGCTAGTCACGCTGTGATCAGCTTTATTGTTGTTCTTGGACTAAATTGATTAAACCGGAGTGAAAGCTGCACCTGTTTAAATCTGTGATTTAAGTAAATATAGAAATACCACAGGAGCACAATATTTGAAATATAGCAGGATTGTACAGATTGTTAACAAAATAAAGTAAAATGCCTTATATATATATATATA